TGTGTGTTGAGATAACATATACCTATACAAATTTAAGTTTATATACTATATATTCTTACCTTTAGAATAAATCTTCTCTCGACGTGTCATAACACACGGACCAGTATCATTTTATTCTAGATTCGAGAAGATTAAAATATTCCTTTCTAAATAGAATTATTGCCATACAATAAATATAATTATCGCTCTATCAATGCTATTTCACGACAGGTCCAAGTGCAATAGCATTGAATCCGGAAATCTTTTCTGCGGGTGGCACGATCGAAAAACCATGGCGAGTGTCTGAACCACCTTCCATCCGAAAAAAATATATTTGGGTTGAACGCAAGAGGGTGCTCGCGGAATTTCGCGCGGATTTAACGAACTGCCGAAAATTGCGCGTTATATTTAATCGGTGGGCGTTTAAAAAGAAAATCGCGATGCCGATACGTATATAACTCGGATCTCGATAATTTTATGCAATTATGCGTGCGCTCCCTCCCCCCCCCCCCTCCACCCCTACGCTCGTTCTCTCACAGCGGTGTGCGCGGGCAGAGTTTCGGGGCGGATTTCAGCGGCCGTCTGTCCTCCGCCCTCTTCCCTCTTGTTTCACGGCGATGCGAGCACGCGTTAATTCCCATTCGTTGCGCGTTTACATTATTATTAAAGCGCGTTTACACGGTCGGCCGCGTCGACGCCGCCGCCGTAGAATTTTAATCCGCGATTCTGCGCCGCGACGCCGAAAAACGCGACTATTAATCTTACGGCGACCGCTTTAGCGTATTTCACTTCTCCCTGCCGCTTCATGTTGGTTCATTACGTGAAAATAACGCCAAGCCCATTGCGTTTTAATCTGGATATGTTTTGGATACGACTCGTATCGAATGGTGATCTGCCTCGGCAAGTAATCGAATCTTTGAATCGCGCACGGTGATTCGCGAAGCGGATGTCCCATCATTATAAATTTAATTAGGATTTCTTGATCCCGCCGAGGCAACCGAAGGCGTTTAAAGCTAACTAGACGTTTGCGAGATGTTTATTTTTGCTATAAATGGTGAATCACGTCCGCGAATACTCATGCGAATCGAACGACCGTTACATGAAAATTACATTGATTATGTAAATTAATTATTGAAAGTTATACGGAATTTCACGTTAATTATTAACGGATTTATGTAAATGTGATTTTGCGCACAATGCTTGTTTGAAATGATTATCGATAACTCTATGATATTCATATCTATATTTTTATCTCACGTTACGCGTCACGTTATTTCAAGAGAGAGAGAGAGAGAGAGAGAGAGAGAGAGAGAGAGAGAGAGAGAGAGAGTGTATAATTCTTTATTTAATTTATAATAATAACAGCAAATATCAATTTATAATATAAATCTGTAATAACAAGAGCAAATATTAGCGTACATTTTTCCAATGTTTTACGCTTTCAATTATTGTTGACAGTTCCTGAAATTATCTCCGGCAAAATACGGCAATTAATTTTATACGACGCGAATCATCGAACAAACGACCGAAGATGTTTCGAGGAATAATATAATTAATATAGCACGGACGCAACGCTCGAGCAATTACACAACAAATTGCAGCAGACTGCGCGACCGCGATAAACAACATCTCTACGTCCCGGGATGTTATTTGTAAAATAAAATAGCTAATTCAGAACGCGCTAATTAATTATGCTTGAAACAACGGGGTTTGCAACGTTCTCGCGCGCGCATTTTCATAGTATGCAAAATCGCAAATAACTCGATCGGTGAATTTATTAATTCGATTAATTGAACGTCTCGTTTCCGAGTCGATGATAGAGTCTCTCTCTCTCTCTCTCTCTCTC